TCTGAGGCAAATCGCTTAACATGCACCGCTGGTCGTCGGTGTGTTGTCTACCTTCCCAATCCCCCCTCCAAATCTAAGCCCCCTTTCGGAGCAGGCACCTCTGCTTTTGGCCATTGTTTTGTCCCGAGCCCGGCAAACACTTTTCCCTGGATCTCGCTTGCCAGCTCTACTCTATGGCCGGCAAATATTGACCATTTGCCTTTTGCCAATTTGTTTGCATTTCAGGAAAATATTTTCATTTTCAATGCTCGCTTGCCATATTGAAAATTAAACTGCAAACTATGCCTGTGCCTGTGTCTGTGTCTGTGGCACATGGAAAATTGCCTTGATTTCCCTGGCCATGCCTACTGTGAATTGTCATTTTTAATTTATTTTGTTGCCTGGCATTTATACAATAAATATCTCACTGTGTCCTCACACACACACACACAGACAGCGCTCGTGTGTCGTCCTGGCTATTTTGAGGCCTTGTTGTTTGCAATTGCTTTTTGATTATCTCTATTTGCCGTTTGTGCTATTGAGCTACGTTCGTTCTGCTGGCCAAGTGAAAACAAATTGAGTTCTCTCCGTTAAGCGTCGAAAATAGTTTTCAACTCTCTCTCTCTCTCTGTATCATGTGTGTGTGCGGGTCCTAAAGTGCTAAAGCTTGTAGTGCCGTTAGTTTGCATTAAATTTGTTGGCAACTGACTCGCTTAAGAACGGACCAAAAAAGGCGAAGGAGAGTGTCAGGGAATTATGCCTGGCCGGGGCCGTTTGTAGTTGGTGTTTTCCTTTTTTTATTCGGCAACATTTTCTGCTTATGTTTTATGTAAAGCCTTAAATGGAGTTTGCACTACTCCAGGACGATGTGAGGAGCGGCAAAAGTTCGGAGGACATGCAATTTGTGTGTTCCAAAGTGGCTTATCATAAGTTTCACTTGGTTGCTGCCGCTGGTAACAACGCCCCTGTGCTATTTATGGCACTGTGTGAAAAAAACCAATTTTCTTAAATCTCATTTAATATTTTTTTAGTGCACAAATAAGTCAGTGAAGATTAAAACAAGCTGGGGAGAGCTCTAGTGGTTTTAAAACGCTTTAAGGCAAGGCGAAGAGTGCACAAGTTTAGAAGTCATTTCCCACTCTTTAAACCATAAAAGTTCTTGATAAGCATCAACAGCCTAGTCGATCCAGCCATGTCCGTGGTTTCTATATTTTTTTAATGGTCATAAATCGATCCAATGATCCAATTGCAAGCTGCAAGGGTATACAAATTTGGGCTTACCGAGTAAACTTTCCTTTTTCTTAAAGTTTTTTTAGTTCGTAACGATATAAAGACACCTCATACCAATTTTGTGTCGTAAAAAACACATTTAAAGACTATATCCAAGCAGTATTTCTACTTGAAAAACCATTGGCACTCATTTCTCTTTCGCCATATCAAACAAAAGCCAGGCTTCAGAACATATTTCATTCGCATTATTCCAACTCTTTGTCTATTTTCGCACACAAAGACGGCAGTCGCATTTTTTCTTCTTTTAATGCATAGCTAAGTCGAACCACTAAACAGTTTTAAATTTGCATAAAAATCCGTTTTATTAACATTCAAAGGCGATTCCTATCGCCGCTAAATTGAAGAAAAGTAGCTAAAGTTGGACAAAAAAAAAAGTAAAGGGAAAAATGGAGTTCCAAGCAAACAGAAACCCTGAGCAAACCAAGGGCCCGTGGCCAATGCCTGATGGGTGGCGGGAAAATGCCATGTAAATGCTCTCAGGGCAAGCTGGAAGAAAAATTCCTTTGCACTCAACAAAGAAGAAATAAATAACTTTCGAGTCAGATTAGCCAACTTGTCACGAAATGCAAAATGACATTTAATACCCTGCGACTTGGACGAGCGTGGAAGACGAGGACGAGGACGAGGACATGGACTTGAGTGCTCCTCTCCTAGCTCCCCTACCAGTTGATGGGCAGCAGCTGCGTTCGCAGGACAGGATCCCAAGACGCATGTCGACCAAATGGCAATGCGATACGCGACGATATACATGACTGGACCTGACTTGCACTTGGCATGAAAACATGAGAAATTCCTTAGCCAATGGGCCCCCTCTTTCTTTCTCCCAGCTTTTCTTTTTTTTTTTTTTTTGTGTTCCCCCCGGCATGCCAGAATGCTAGACGACAGCGACATTGTTTCGAATGGCCTGGCAAAAGAAGAAAAATGGCTCTGAAATGCCATCACTGCTATATCCATCCCAAAAAAATAAAACCAAGAGAGTAAAAAAAAATGAAAGAGGAAAGCGAAAAAGTAATCATTGCAATTTAAAGCGGATAATCTGCATCAGACCGAAGCTGTGAAACAAGAAGCGTTGCCTGAAAAAAAAAGGCGAATGCTCTAAAAAGGGTTCCAGTTTCAGTTGCAGGACGCGAACGTTGGCAATGCAAATATGCTACGCTTTTCCCCCACATTTCCACCCGCTGCTGCGTGCGTGAGTGGACACCATTTGCAATTTTCGCACTCGCTTTCCACTCTCGCACTCTCTCTCTCCTTTTTTTTTTTTTGCATGCCCAAGGAGCGAGGCAGTCATGCAGATTACAATCGAAATGACATGAAAATGTTTAGTGTGGCGTGTGGAAAAAAAGGGAAAAAAACTTAAAAAAAGGACCTCGACGAAAATCGCGGTGGCGCAATGTCAAGCGGCGGCAGCAAGAAAGTGTTGCATATCTACGGGCGCCAGCCACAAGAAAGAAAATGGCCCCGGGTGAAAATGTGGAGAGGTGGAAAGCCAGCTCGCTTGCCACTCTAAGATAATGTCTGTCCTGCAGATCTCTCCCTCTCCTGGAGCGTAAGAATAATGTCTTATTTGATTGTGGCCAGCAAATGCAATTTACATTTGTCGGAGACGCTGAAAGGATAACAGAAAAAAGCAGAAAACCAAATCGATTTATAGATTCATTCATCAAATAGCTCTCGACACACACTACATTTATGGTGGCAATTCAATTAGCCATTAGCTAACCTGTTTCGAGGGCCATCAGACGGCAATTAACCCAGTTGCAAGTGGCAACAAGTGAGCGTGAGAGTGAAAAATTGCATTAGTATTTCATTAAAGCAAATTAGAGTGCTGCACCCAGACTGACAGCCAGTCAAATCGCAGTGTTGCTGTTGTTAAATAAACTCAATCGAGGCATTAAATTACTGCCAGTGGCGCCAATAAGCACAAACAAATAAGCCAAAGTGGCTGTGTTTGTGCTCTCGTGTGCCCACGACAGTTGCTGATTGAAAGTTTTGCTCCGAAGGATGCTGAAAAATATTTGCTTGCCGTCAATAAATATGTATGCATATACTCTGTGCTATGTATTGATCAAAATTGCGAGTCAACAATGCAAAGTATTTTGCTTTTTGGCTCGCCAAATATTTATGCAGCGCTGCTGCTGCTGCTGCTGCTGCTGGAGCTGATGGTGAAGATGCCTCGGCATCCAACAATTAATTAGCCTAATTTATAGTAGTTTGCAACATCCCCGATAGTTTGTAGTTTATTAAAAACTTGCTCCTGCCAGTTTGGCCCACATTTGTCAATATGCTAACAAATATGTGTATATTTTCCGCAAGCGTCATAACAAAGCAAATAAAAGTACACTGTGAAATGTTGTTCAGCAACAATTATTTGTGAGTTAGCGCCAGTTGTTTGGGGGCGCCATAAATCTTGTACAGCTTTCATGGCGTCATAAATTTTAAATGCCATCAGCAGGAGCGGCAGAAATAAACCGAAAAAAGCTGAGAGAAAAAAAGGGATAAGGGGGAAAAACAGAAAAGGAAAGCCAAAGCGAGTTGGCATGTCTCTGGCCCTCCGCTATCCTCTTTTGGCCAGGACAAACAATCAATTTATGCACACACAATTTTACCCTTTTTACATACATACATAAATATGTATAAAAATTCTTATTTTTCAATGTTTTTCCGCTCATTTTTAAGTTGAGTTGAGTTGAGTCGCTGCTCGGCTCGCCGTATGCAAATATTTGTTAACTCCATTTGCTCTGAATTAAATATAATTTACATGCATATTTGTTTGCCAGCCAGCCAGTCGGGTCGGTCTGGCCTCGTTTCGCGTGGAAATCCCTTTTCCACATGCCATGTTGCATGCATCAGGGCGCATTAGCTGGCGCTCTTTCATCCCTTCGGTCATTATAATTATTGTTGACATTTCGGCTTAAATGAGAGTGAGTCGCCGCCACAATTACACGTGCTAATGAAGTGAAATTTTTACTTTTTCGCAATTAAAAACGAATTTCGATATATCGTACATACGAGAGTATGCTATTGTTCATGGTTATTCTGGAATTCAGAGATTTTGGCCTAAAAGAAAATTGCACTTACCCTTGCATGCAGTTAATTGGTTGGGATTTGTGTGTTGTTTGGGGGAAAATGTGTTGACAGCACGAACATGGAGTTATTCAGAGCACTCTCTGGGCTGTGAGTCATGCCAAGGATAACAGAAATTATAGGGAGTCCTTCCAATTATATCAACTTCAAAGCTGGCGAAGATTAAACAGGCAAAAGGCACGTTAGTTTGCATTTCACATGACGTCAGTATCGGGAAACTAAAGTGACCTTAGGCTACAAGGACTTCTTATATTAAATAATTCTAAAGCAAAAAAAAGAAGTTGAAGTATATTCCTTAAAAAGGAATAAGAAAACACACAGAGCTTTATTTATTCCAAACATTAAGGTTAAGCACAACAATTTGTGTTAATCAACATGGCACCACCCGCATGGCCCAGGAATAGAAAAAACATTAACATAAATTCGTTTCGAGTAATTTATTTAGTGCGACAAAAGCACTTCCTGGCTCACTAAATTGCCACACAGCCCCACAAATCGAAACTGAATTATGGCCAGCTGCCGTTTAACCCCCCCACTTGGAGGAACTATTAACCCATGCCCACACTCACTGCCTGTCAGTTGCGGGCAATTTATGAAGTTGAACAATTTGCTAAACATTTTTCCCGCTCGCTTTCTTTTCCTTGCAGGGCCGCTGTAATCGTGATAAACCGCCGTGCAAATATTTTCATCCACCACAGCATCTGAAGGATCAGTTATTGATAAATGGACGCAATCATCTGGCCCTCAAGAATGCACTGATGCAACAGATGGGAATCGCGCCCGGCCAGCCGGTCATATCGGGCCAAGTGCCAGCAGTGGTAAGTTCCACAACGCTTTCTAATACTTTAATTGAATTTTCCTGCCCACCTCTGTCCTCCCATCTCCCTACTTTCCACAAAATATGAATATTTATAAGCAAAGAGGAGGTGAAACTTCCACGACCATGAATATCCGAAATACCAAAACCAAAGAGAGAAAAAACGTAGCGAGGAATTCAAAGTGCGCGAAAATGAGCCAAAGACTGGGAGGCAGTGGAATGTTTTATTCATGCAGAAAAAGTGGGGGGAAAGAAGGTCTCGGGGGAGTTTATAACAAATCGAAAATTAATTCTCAAATAATTTGCGACATGGTTTTTGTGGATTTGCAGCTAAACGACAGCCATCATTAGGAAGGAAAAGCCGCCCCATGTTGATTGTTGAAAAATGCATGAATTTTCATTAGAACCAAAAAGGTTTACGAGTGCGTGCCAAGCATAATTTGTGCCGAAAGGGTCACTCCATGGGGGCAGTGTGAAGCTGTCCAAATGGGGTGTTGAGCCATTAGATTGGAAGCGGGACTGGGTTTAGGCCATAAATAAAACAGATTTTTTTAAAGGGGATTTGGTCAGGGAAATCAGAAGGCAGCTGGGAGTTACGAATAATAATTGAGAAGGAAAATTATAGAGTAAACAAGAAGGAAGATACCTACATTTTAAGAAAAAAAGCCCTCTCTTGTTACTTAAGAACTGATCAATCTATACACACTACCTTTCAGGCCACAAATCCGTATCTGACTGGCATTCCGGCCAACTCGTACAGTCCGTACTACACAACGGGTCACCTGGTGCCCACCTTGCTGGGCCCCGATCCCACGGCCGTGGCCTCCCAGCTGGGACCCGTGGTGCCCCAGACAGTGCAGGTGGCCCAGCAGAAAATACCACGTTCCGACAGATTAGAGGTGAGTTCCGGGCCAATGCCCCCGCATCCGCGGCTGTACTATATATCTCAATATATATATTTATGTATCCATGGAAGTCAATTTATTGCGATTTAATTTACGCTTACGTTGTGTTTTACTTTATCTAATTTCGTTTACCTAAAAAACAAACCAACAGAAAGAAAGAAATTCTCGTTCGTTTATGTTTCCTTTCGTGGCATGTCTTTATGTATTTATATTTCTAATTAGAATTAATCTTAAACTACGTCTGACAAGTATTGCGAACTAAAAACGAAAACAAAAAAACAAATTGTACAGAGTTTTGAGTTCTCTTGAGTTTGCCAAAAATGATCGAGCTAAAATTGCGACCAAAATCAACTGTATAATTCGCCTAAAACAACAAATAACCAGAATTGATTCGAAAACGTTTTTTTGACACACATTCGTATTTGTCTAACACCGCCAAATTGAAACCGAAATAAATCACCAACAACCCAATCTTGATGTTCTCTTCATTTCCTCTGATTTTATAAGCTCTCTCTCTCTCTTGTTTTTATCTTGGTAATATTATATATTCGAGTCAGTAGAGATCGATCAAGGTCGCACCATATAGCAGCTTGGCCTAGCAGCTGCTTTCCAGGAAGCTTTCCAGCTCTGTAAATAGCCCAAGAAATTATCAGAAAATTATTAAAAATTACAGAATTCTTTGCACTGACATTTCTTATATGATTTTTGTAAAGTTTATCAACTTGAAGAGAGGTATTATTTTTAGCCAAAGGGAAGCTCCCGTTTCATTCCATTCTCCAAAAGCCCCTAGAGTTGTAGTTGAGTTAGAGTTATATAAAGTCAAAGATTAGCAGTCCCCGTTGAGGATACCTATAATCCTAGAGTTGTTAGTTGTTTGATTTCGAGTTCTTTTTCCTTTAAGAGATCTTTATACCCTCAATATGTCTATCTCGATTCAGCTCAGACACCGAAATACTCGCTCAACAAACAGTCCAACCCCCGAGCTCCCTGTAAAGTCCTTGTGTTTACTCTTGATTTCGAATAATCCTTGCATTCTCGTTATGTTTGTGCTACGTGTTTCTCTTGTGTTTTCTCGTACTCAAAAGTGCACCAACCCTAAAACAAAAATGCAAATTGAAAACTAATCGGCATGAAGCAAAAATACACCAAAAATAATAATAAACAAAATAAAACCGAATTCCAAGAGGCAAGTACAACCAGCAACATGTAAAAAAACACCTAACATGCAACTGTATCGGCTCTAACCACTAAACAAAAATGAAATTACAAACAAAACTTGCCTTCAATTGACTTGGAACGAATCGAAAATATATATACATATATTTTTTGCGCAAATACTTAACTTTTCTTTTGATGACAACTAAAAAAAAAAGCAAAACAAAATAGTAAAAAAAGAAAAGAAATGAACTTGTTACTGAATATCCTTCCATTATTTCCAAAAAACACACTCCACACACACACACATACACCTTCTCCGCCTAAACACACACACACACACACACCAACCAACCAACCGAAACCAACCAAAAACCAAACCGAAAACACCACTGAAACCACTCTGAACCACAACTGCTGCCACTTTTGCTATCCGCTGCCAACGCTCAACCTCAACCGATACGAAAAACCAACCAACAATCTGCAAATCCACCAAACCGAAACCAACGATGCCGCTGCGAAATCGATCTATGAATATCGATCATATCTTTATGTATATGTATATGCGATGTATGATAATGACTATCCAACGATGATCGGCGTGCGTGTGTGTGTGGTTTATGAATCCCGGATGAATCGATGAATCGCAATGATCCTGGCGATGCGATAATCCAGGTGTGCCGCGAATTCCTGCGCGGCGCCTGCAAGCGGGCGGAGTCTGAGTGCCGGTTTGCCCATCCGCAGGAGAGCGTCGCCAGGCACGACGATGGCTCCATCACGGTTTGCATGGACGCCGTGAAGGGCAGGTGCGCACGCGACCCCTGCCGCTACTTCCATCCCCCCCTGCACCTACAGGCACAATTAAAAGCGGCCCAAACACGCGCCACCGCTGTCGCTGCTGCAGCTGCGGTATGGCTATATACTATATATTTTTCTATACTTTCTCGATACCTTCTCGTTTTTCAATTTGCCCTTTTGGTTTTTATTTCGTTTTATATTTTCCGTTCTTCGTTTTGAGTGCTGCCTCGTTGATTATTATTTTCCTTGTTGTTTTTGTTTTTCTCTTGATTTTCCAGCGAAAGTATTTCTTTTTTCGAACATGTTTATGCCTAAATAGCCACATTTTCACGAACTGATTTAATAGGTAAAAGGAAATTATCTTAAAAATGAAATATTAAGAAGTATTAAAGTAATATTAAAATAAATATAAATAAATATTAAAATAAATTAGTAATTCAAGTTAACCCGACAATTCCTAAGCATTTTAAAGAATTTTAATAACATTTAACGTAATTTTATTCCAAATAAATACATAAGTTTGACTTTTAACTTTGCAAAATCATGGCATACTTTTAGACACCCCCAAAAATTGTTTTTAAATTTCCAGGGATTTAAAAACCCAAAAATTATTGTTTTATAATCCCTATAGATTTAAAAAGCTTTCAAATAAATATTTTAAAACATGTACAACCTTCAGAAATCTCAAAAAATGTTTAAAAACCCTCAAATTAGTTCGTGAAACTACCGCTCACCTAGCATTTTATCGTTTTTGTGTTCTCCAACTTAACCTCAACAGAGAAATACAACACAGAATTTTACTCCTGCACTAACACGCCACACAAATAAATAAACATATATATATATATATATATATATATACTTATATAATATATATACTGTATATACCTAGCCAAGGATGGCCTTAGGCCAGCCAGCCCGCTTAGTTCGAAATATAGTTGATTGAATTTGCTTTAAAGTCAACCGAAAATTCACAAATCTCTCTCTCTCCATTGATTTAATGATTTAAAGCAAATTTAATTAGAAGTTAATGCTGCATGCAAACAATTTAATTTACTTTATGCAAACACACACACATACACGCACACCAAATCTCTTTACAAATAACTGTTATTCCCCCTAAGTGCCGGAAAAAAACAAAAACCAAAATGTGTAATCGTACAAATTTGTAAAACACAAATTATGCTATTTATTTATGCTGCATATTCAATGGCATCATTGCCAGTGGCTATGCAATAAACGCTTAAGCGAATTCCGCTCCTCCACATCCTTAAAACAAAAATATAGAAAAATACAAATCAATGAACCGAATAATTTAGCCCGATGTAACGTGACATGGATAATGCACTCGAAAAGTATAGAAACAAACCAGATCGAATAAGTGATGACGATTATTTTAACTAGAGAAATTAGCTGTAAATTATAATAATTAAATAATTATATAAAAGTAGAAAATACTATAAAGGTAGTAGAAATATTTAGTACTTTTAGAAATTCTCTTTCGTTTAAATTTAAAGTAACCAGGATATTCTCCATTCGAGCTTAAAATATATAGTATTTTATATTATTTGGCGGGTGTCATTGAAATAAAGTCAGTGGACGACGCATCATATAAAATTTTATGGCTAATTGAAAATTCATTTGGCTGAACTTAATTATGTTTGTCCAAGGCAAATGAGATGTTCGGCAATCAAGCAGAACGGATGCCCGGTGCCATCTAGATGTTAATTTTGTTTGTAGATCAATAAATAATTATATTTTATAAGTATAGCGTCCAGACGGAAACCAAACAAACAGGCTTTTTTTTGTTTTTGCCATAATCCCGAAGGGGAGAGAGGAGGCCAGGGAAAAATATCTGGGAACAGGGAAAATATGTTGAAGCTCACATAAAACACGCCATAAATGTTGATTTTCGTTGGGCCAAAATTAACATTTATTACAACGCGTAAAACTTTGAGCACGCAGCTACGGCAGCAGGTCGTTTGAGCGGGGAAAATGCAGAGGAAAAGCCGGGAAAATCGGGCAGACACACGGCGCACATATGGCCACGTACCGGAGAAGTGTCCTTGTGTGTGTGTGTATGTGTGTCTGCCGCCGTATCCTGCGTGTCCTATGCGCCGTACTTAATTCGCGACTTAATTGCTTTCTGCTGGAAATTTATTTGACGCAACAAACAACAACGACAACGGCATGGAGTGCCCCGGCGAGGCGGGGAGATGACACACATAATTGCAGCATAATATCGCATAAAGTGAAAAATTGTTGCAGCATTTTAGGCGTAATTCAATCGGGGGCTCGCCTCTCCTCGCACGACAAACGTGATTATTGTATGAAAATGTCCTTTGATACGTTCCCAAAAGCACCCACTCCTCCTCTCCCTCCAGAGCAGCTGATAATTGTATTTATGGGTGCTCGTTTAATGTGATTATGGCCCTGGTAAAAAAGGGAATTAAACGCTTACCTTATTGCACCTGTCTACCATGTTGTGTTTGTCTTTTATTTTATATGTCGTGCATTATTCGGATATCCCGCAAAATGTTGTTGATATTTCACCGTAGCTGGGAGGTCATAAAATCCAAAACGATCCTTATAAATACTTTAAAGTTATAGGTTACATATAAATTATAATAGCGAAACAAAGACACATCATAGATATCATTTTATTGGAGCTTTATATAGTCAAAGATATAAACCGATGCAGCGCTGCTGTTTAATAACTCTTTCTTTATATTTTCCATTCTTCCTTTAACATATCAAGTAGACTTGTTACAAGTTATTAAATATATATATTTCCTATCAATATTTTCGGCTATATCCTATGTATATAATATAAACCAAGACCCGCATGCAAAGTAAAGAGTTTTTCTGGTAAATCTCTTTGCTTTGATTGAAGGATCTCCCATATCTTTCCTTAATTTTTAAACACCATAAACCCCGCATAATGTTAGCTGATTTTACCCAACTTATAATCGAGTTATATACCTTGTTATCTCTCTATATACATATATGTACTGCGTAATCGACAGACTCTACCAAAACCACACACACACCACAAAAACAGACCAAACACACAAAAAACTTTGCCTTTGCATATATTTGTGTTTGATTTTCCCCATATAATTTCCCTGAGTTCCTGTTTGATAAGCGTTTAAGTTCTGTTTATTATGATTGCTGTTTGGCATTCTGGGTCACCGCAAAAAAAATACAAAAAAATCAAAACGTTCCCATATGTCAGCCGTCGGAAAGGACAGAAAAAAAGGGACTTCGATGTGTGTAGTTCGACTGCCAAATATGCCACCTGCCGCATCGAAGGACCCGGGGACCCCACAAAACTATAATCCCAACATGTAAGCGTGACAGCAGCCGCATCTCGTCCTTCCCGGAAGAAAAAAGCCCAGAGGAAAAGTGAAAAGCGAGGGGTGCACACACGGCAGGAGTCCTGGTTTCGCCTTCTTTTTCACCTTTTTTTTTTCTTTGCGCCAACGAACTGACCGAAAATGTAAATGTCAACCTGTACAGGACACGGATACGAATACGGACACGGACACCGAAACGGACACGAACGACATGGATTAGTCGGGGCCGGATAACGTTTGAACCGGAAAATTAACTAAAAGCAGAGATTTCCATGCCAATGAATTGTCCGCCGGAGAGAGAGTCTCCACAGACCGCCTGGTTTTTTATGGACTCGGTGCCCCAGGACACACACTCGGCCATATATGCGCACCCCACGAAGTTGTCGCGCCCAAGCGAATTAATCCATTTGTAGCATTCATTGCCAGTGACACTAGCCCAGAAAAGGCAGGCTGGCCACAAAAAAAACCCCACAGGAGAAACGAAAAAGAGATGATAACCCCCTTTTTGCACCTCTCCGCCGCCCATTTAAATGCAAATTTGTGCACTCTTTCGTGTGACCTGCCCCTCGAATTTTTATTTTTTTTGCCAGTGTTATGTTTTGGTTTATCTTTATTTTGTCGTTCTTGGTTATTAGAGGCGCACATGGGGCCAGTTGTCTCGTGGAAAATGGGGTAGAGCAGCGCCCAATTGCGGTGTTAAACGCATTAGCATTGAGCTCTGTCCCGAGAATTTACGACTACGAAAATTGGGGTCGCAACTTTGCCGGGGATTTGAAGCTGTACATGATTTCGTTCCTAAGCCTACGAAATGTAAGTGGGTCAAAAACTATATCATTTCATTTGTATTTGAGTTGTTAAAAGTTTATTAAATATATATACATACAGCAGCAACGATGCATCGGTAGGTATATCGGTACATACTCTATATCCCAGTTTCCCAAAGAGACCTCGAATGCGAATGTGTCAAGTCAAAATAAGCGAATCAAGTCTGAGTTGTTTGTAGAGCAGGAAAAATATCGATATTAATCGGTTTTAAATGGAAAATTGTTCAAACTATCCAAAAAAATCGATATTTTCCGATATAAAATCGATTTTTAAAATATCGGAAGCTTCAAAGTTTCGTCAGCATTGAAAAAGTATTGATGGAAAGCTACAAATAGATCTATCCATTAAAAAATATTTAAGACCTCAATATTATATCATGGTTATTATCAATATTTATAATCTCTAGGTTTTCTGGCAACTTAAAGAAGCTTAAAATACCCCAAAAGACATACCTAAGTTAGTTCATAAGCCAAAAGATTAAGATATTTAGAATGTAAGAAAAGAAAACAAGGCTTTCACACTTTGCTGGCTTTCGCAAGCTTCTTCTTTTTTGAAAAGCAGTTCTCAAACAATGGCTTTTCCCTCACACTAAAAGATAAACTAACATGATTTTACGCTTCTTTCAAAAAAACCAACTACAAACACAAACGAATATTAATCATAACAATTAGCTGGTATTATCCTAACATTTATTTAAGGCTCTTTCTCTTGCAATATCAAATGGAAATCGTGTTTATTTAAATTACCGTTGATTTCTACTTGATTTGTTCATATTTACTCTCTCTCTATCTCCTATCTCTCTACGAATATAATCTCTATATATACGTACAATTTGATTTTTTCTATTTATTTACTTATCGATATCAAAACACTTCCGTACTCTTCTACTATTATGTATTTTTCATCTGTTCGCCTGTGCCAACAACAACAACAACAAACACACACTACATACAACAAACACACACACACTTGTAACTGCTTCTACGATGGATGGAATCGACACACACCCACTGAATACCCACACACATAAATATGCACAATATATGTACGAACACGAAACATCAACAAAATGCACACTTTAAAACAATTCAAACAAATATTTCTCATCTGCCGAAAAAAAATAAAAATTCAAATTGGACACAATAATTAATAATTCATGGAAAATGCAAACAAACAAAAAATGTTTGTAAACAAAAAATATTTCAACACCACTACCGCTTGAATAATTCAAATTGGAATCCCTCAAAAATTTAATGGACGCATCATTTAAATGCTTGTATATTTTAATAATTTGTTGCATATTTATGACGGCTGCTCATATGCCTGGAATAATCCCTGTTTGATTGGAATTGGAAAATAATTTTTATATCTTACATTTTAAATTTAAATTTAATTTAAATTTAAAATTTTAATGTTTCGTACATTCATGGTTTCATTTAAATTGAAAAACAAAAACCATTCACTATTTCACGAAATTCCCAAATTTGTTTATTGCGATTCTTAAAAATTATAATTATAATATTTAATTTATAATTAAAAAAAATTATATATTTTGCACAAAAATATCAAAAACTATGACACAAAAACACGACCCAAAACACACACACAGACCTCACCAGTTACGGCACACCATCACCAGCAACAACAACAATTGCAACACCAGCTGAACAACATCAACAACAGCAACGCTGGCGCAGCAGCAACATCGACAACAGCAACAACAACCACAAACAACGCCGCTGCCGCTGCCGCCGCCGCTGCTGCAGCCGCTGCCGCCGCTGTCATGGGCCATCACACACTGGAAGTGGGCAAGAAGCGGGCGGCGGACACAACCGACATGTTCCCACTGGTATTTTTTTTTCATTTCCTTTCCGTTTTTCGATTATCGAATTTTGAATTTCGTTTTAGTTTTTTTTTTTCTTCTAAATTTTGTGTTTTAGTTAACTTTTTTTTCTAACTCGTTTGAATTCTTGTTTATTTGACAACTGTTAATTACATAACACGCTTTTGTTGATTGTTGAAAGAGTTATGCGTTTTTTGTTGCATGCTTTTTGGCGGGCGAAGAGAATCCCGAAAAAGGGAATCTGCCATAAATTAGAGCTAAGTTTAATTAAAGGTTGTTATAAGACAAAATAGGTGTTGTGGTATAGTAAAGAAAAGAAATGAATATAACAAGGTGCCACAGAAATTGCTATGGCTTTCAAATCAATTGGAATAATGCTTAAAAGTATGCTATGTAATATTTAATTAACCAATTTGTAGGTTAAGTAGGGTATAAAATATTTGAAGTATACTTCTAATAATAGCAATTTCTGAGCCGCCTTTAAAAAGTTTAAAAATAATTAAATAATTCTTTTGGCAACACCAAACTACAACTTTATAAAACAAGCTAGCTCTCGGTAATCACCACTTAAATTATGAACAAACCCAACATGTCCTTATTGCGGCGTCAAAGGAATTGCTTTCAACTTTCACCCAACCACAGAACATAGGGGGCGGCGCACCTTGTCTGTTATGCAGTCACTCAATCTCTCACTCACTCACCTCCCACTCAATCACTCAATCATCCGCCCGCCCACTCAGTTAGTCAGTAGCATGCACATCAAAGTGCCATCAATTAACGTTTATTATCCGGGATGCAAGCCCCGGCATTTAATTTACAAAATGAAGTCATTATCCGATATATCAAAAGCGCAAACACTCGCACATCTACACTAATCAAAGCACAAACACACACGTACACCTCGCACACTCACTCACACACACACTTTTCGCAACGGCAAGAGCGAGTTTAACCAATTACACGTGGCATATGATAAATCACAATCACAACACGAGCGAGCACATTCCCTGCCCTGCCAGGTGTTAATTAAAATGATTTAACCGATAATTGCCAAGGCTGTAGCTGTAGCTATGTAACTATGTATCCCTGTACCTGTATCCGAAACCGCCACACCTTTTGGCGGTAACTATAAGTTTCTTTCTTTCGCTTCTGCCTCCGTCGCTGATTGCATTTCGCGAGCTTAATTGTTTAAGTGCTTTTCCTGGTTAATAAGCTGAACACGCACCATGCAGCCGACTTTGTTTATCCCGCTCCGTTTTCCGTACATCGTACATCACATTACATCACCCACACTCACACACACTAGGACTAAGTATCTTGTGTACCGTAACCCCCTCCGTTTATGTATATATGTATCTGAATTATTTGCCATAATGCCACTCTGTACTGTGCCCAGGATATATCCACTAATTTCATTTGTGTTCTTCTCTCCTCTTCATTTGCTCTCTTCGATTCCATAAACTCTTGCGTTCGTTACAAAACTCCACCCTCTACTACTACTCTACTCACTGTTTTCCGAATCGAATCGAATCGAAATCGATCAATAATAACTGCGAACTGTGTGTGCTAATCCTGATCAATCAAACAATGATAACCCCAACAACAATCAACAACAAATCATACACTAACTGCATAATCAACAACAACAATCGATAAATGCCAAAAAAGATGGATGTTAAAACGGTTGGTTCATTTTACTATGAAAACTTCGTAAGTACTCCAAACTGAATGACAATCGCCACCTACAGTAGTCCGCCAACTATAAATATTATATATACACCATAAAGACTACTGCCTGAATATCCATAACTTGCGATAAATACATATGTTATATCCAGACATGCTACTAACCAAGCCAGGAATGCATGCATTCAAAATCAACCGAAATCAATCGATAAATACGCTTAACCTATATGAAACACAACAATATAAAATTGATCAATCGAATAACAGTTGAAATTTGGCAAACAAACAAAAGATGCTTCAAAGGGGAATCAAGTTTTGAGGAAAAAAAACATTTTAAAGCTTCAATGCACACACTCATAAAACATTAAATTTGATCGGATAAAAATTACAAAAAATCAAATTCAATAAATATATATCCAATAGAAATATATCCACTATCTAGATGTTAAATGCCAAAGCTTTTACCACTTTTTCCACCAACCTGCACGCACTTTCGATTCCATTTCGTTGCCAACTATATAGTACTCCGCCTAAGTTTAGATTTCCTTTTCGATATCCGTTCGAATTTAGTTTGAATAATTCTTTCGTTGTGACATTTCGTATAATTTTTGGTAATTCTCACCAAGAAAAATGAGAAAACGAATAGAAATTGGCGAAATAAAAATAGAAAACAAAGCGCAAAAATCTCAAAATTAACTAAAAAGCAAGCTCGTTTGTAAGCCAATTGTTATTTATATTATGTATATGGTTACCAGTAGACTTTAAGCGGGAACTAAGCTAAAATATATCATAAAAATTTTACTAATTAATTACTCTGTTCTTCTTGTGTTTCTTCCCCCGCGCGGACCTAAAGCAATTCTCTGGCATGGTTCCGTTCAAACGTCCAGCTGCCGAAAAGTCTGGCATTCCAGTTTATCAGCCCGGTGCGACCGCCTATCAGCAGTTAATGCAGCCCTATGTGCCAGTCTCATGTGAGTATCCCCAACAACAACAACAACCACAACAACAACAACAACAACTACATCAACAACAACTACTACAACAACAACTACTACAATTAAGTAGCGCCATAACAACAACAACTACAACAGCAACAGCCAGTAATAATATGATTAATAATATTAATAATAAAAGTACCATAAACGCTGTAATTGCTAATAATACCAATATAATACCATTATCATCATCGACAACAACAACAGCAACAACATCAGCATTATCATCTGCTATAGCAAGTACTAATAACAATGAGAGTGATCCGGATCACGATCAAGATAACCACCAAGATGATGGCGATCAGAATACCGATCAGGCAGGTCCTGTGGCTACTTCCGCCCCTGTCGATGATGGTGAGGCCAGCGATAATGCAGATCGCAGCGATGCCATTAATCCAGACAGTGACCAGAATCAGAATCAGAATTCGAATCCAAGTCCCCCAATAACTGATTGTAATGAAACAACACGAACAATCACACCAATAACCACAGACACGGCAACAGTAGCATCAGCAGCAGCAGCAGCAGCAGGTGCAGCTCAAGACACTAGTGTTCCTGCCGCCTCGGTCACGCCACCGAATGAGGCAACATCGCCACATCCCAATTCGGAGGCATCCTCCTCCGTCCCAACTGCCGATAGCCTTCTGCCTTTGCCCAATGGCGAAAATAACAATTACTTGTCCTATATCAATAACAATCTGACCAATGGCCAGCTCAAGTCGGCATATTCCGACGAGGCTAATGGCGATGCAGACAGCATCAGCAGCAGCAGCAACCCGGCAGCAGCACCCAGTCGGGGTTATAGCAAGCACAATGGGGAGACCTCATACCAGCGCTACTCGGTGAATGGTCATAGCACCGGCATTCTGCCCACACCCACCACCTCTGCTCCGGCAGTGTCTTACCAAAACCAGGCCCAGATTCAGGCTCAGGCGCAGGCCCAGGCTCAGGTTCAAGCTCAGGCTCAGGCACAAGCTCAGGCTCAGGCTCAAGCACAGGCTCAGGCCAACATGCAGCGTATCAACTACGCTTATAGCTATGGCAACTTGTATAACCCTTATGGCGGGGTCACCTCCTCCATGGTAAGCCTCACCAGCTCCAGTCCCTCCTACGCCCAGGCACAGATGCAACAGCAGCAGCAGCAGCAAGCGCAGCAGCAGCAACAAGTGCAGGCTCAAGTCCAGGCCCAGGCTCAGGCCGCCTATGCCCAACAGGCCTATGCAGCCTATGCTGCGGCTGCGGGACTAGCTCCCCAAGCCACTGCTGGTGCCAGTGGCTACTATACCGATCCCGCTGCCTTGGCCAAGGAAGTGGCCCAAAAGAACTACGCCCTCAAGGTGGCCAGTGCGGCTTCTAAGCCGGGTGCCTCCTCCGCGGCGGCTGCCTACACGGGATTGACCCTGAACAAGAGCTATGTGGCCGCTGCAGCGGGCCCGCAGCCAGTTCAAGCTCCTCAGCAGCAGGCAGTGTCCATGGCTACCCTTATGCAAATGCAGGCTCAGGCCCAAGCCCAAGCTCAAGCCCAGGCCCAAGCCCAAGCTCAGTTGCGTCAAATGACCAGCTCTGGACTGTCGACTCCGGTTCCTGGAACTCCCGTTCGTTCACCAGCCGCTGGGGCCACTTCAGTGAGTCAGTATCAGTCTGCTGCCCTGCTGCGGGCACCCTCGTCCTTGCCATATGCTCAGGCCCAGAGCTACTTCTATCCGGGAATGATGCCCACAGCGGCCTATGCCATGCCACCGACTCAAGCTGCTGCAGCGCAGCAATATGCAGCAGCTGCAGCGGCCGCAGCAGCAGCAGCCGCCCAAGGAGGCAGTCAAGGCAGTGCCATGGTCCTGAATCCCTACAAGAAGATGAAGACCTCCTAGGAAGCAACCTGGTAGGATAGGCACACACTAAAATTGTACTTAAGACCCCAAAACCATCCAGAGATGGAAAAGTCACACTTAATTAGATTCATTAGAGTTTAACAAATCGAAGAAGACGTAAGATTATGTGCCTCAGTTTTTCTCGGAAAGGGTATAGTTTCTACTATAAAACCACAACGGAGAAAAGTGTTTTTAGACCTTAGTTGTACCATAGGCCTCATAGCGTTAGGAACGTACGAAACCAACCATGACACGATAACTCTGGGATCGAAGATCCCTGCAAGTCTCTAACAAATACTAACCACAAATGCCCCAAACTTGCTGACGAAACGATAATTGATGATAGTTTTTTGCCATTAAGTTATTCGACAAACGAAACATAACCTCACTGTGACTCAAAAGTGTTGCCATTTTCGCACGAGAAACGAAACGAGAAAAACGAAGCTTTCAAAGCGCACGCGAAGGGAGGAGAAACAGATGTTAGCTGATAGTACTACTTAAGTTCCTTTTTTCGGATAGCACTTAGTCAACTCTAGTTTATAGCAATCGATGAATTATAGACGAGGGCGGGAAAAGCGGGAGCCGAAGGACACAACGAAGAACTGTGATAGGGAATAAGCTTTTTGCGAACGAAAGGATGATGCTGGGTACAGTTGTGTATGCTAGTTTGCTGCCTGCATATGCTTGTCTGCCATATTGCCGTCCCTGTTCCCCGAAACTTGCGGTAGTCCGCATAGCCGTCTCTCTCTCGCTCCCGCTCATCATCCATTTTTCCGCGCCTCTCTATCTCTCTCTTTGTATAACTCTATCGCTGTCTCTGTTTCCTAAAACTAGCTAGCTAGCTAGCGTGAATGCTGTTGTAATTGTTTAAAAAATTGTTGAGCAACGAGAAATGCGTAACGAATATTGTCTAGTTTATATAGAATACTTATACGATATACATATATACATATATATACCTAGCTGTACGTGCTGTATGCTGCTACCCCATAAACGATATACGATATATACACACCCACCCACCCACACACACACACACTATGTACTCTAACACACGCTCATCCACCACACGCTCAGCCTCCAGAGAAAAGGCATAAACATGACCAGGATCGATCTGTAAATCGTATGTCTAGCTTACTAATCAGATATTACAGTACAGTCACCGCTCACGATCACGTCTCTCTATCCGTTTCACTCTAACACACTCAAGACACCCGAACACCCAACACCCGAACACCCATACACCTTTTCAGACTGTTAAGCCAGCTAAATTGATTTATGTTAATCTTTTGTTGTCTCGAGATTTGACCAGAACTATGTAAAACCTTTTGATTTCTAACGACTCTCTCTGTCTATATCTATCTATCAACCCTCTGTCGATCTTCATCTGTCACCCAAATCTTTCCCGCCTATCCACCCCTTTAATGTATTATAAATTGTTTCCTTTTTGTAACCGAAATGTTAAGCAAAGAATAAAATCATTGACAAGCAGAACTAAGTTTTTAATGTTAGATCTCGTGTGATTATCATCCGTTTTCCTTACGTTCTTTTCTATGTATTTCTTACGTTGATATTTATATACTTATATATATGTTTTATGTACTTATACGCCAAGTTTTTAGCGTAGTTTATTATATAATTTTTGGACGTGTGTTCCCCATTTTAAATGATATATAATAGCGAACGAAGCAACCGGAGATAAAATTATGCCACTGACTTGCGCACCCTAAGTTTTAGAGTCCCCCCCTGCCCGCCTACCCGCCTACACCCCCCGCACCCGCAAAAAAAACCTCCATATCCGAGAACATCCTATACATCATACATTACTATTCGATATATACGATAATCTCTGTAAAATTGTTTTTAATTAAAGTACTTCTAATGTCTTACAACGATTTGATGTTTGCCACTAATTCTTATCCTAATTCTAATCCTAATTCTAGTTTAGTTTCGATAGTTTTTATTAATGTTTTATTTGAAATACCGTGTGTTTATCTAAATATATAGTTTACGAACAAACAAATATATATATCTTATTGTGTGTTGGTATTTTACTTTATTTGATTTACTTATTTCGGTATCCACTTGATAATCGTTTTCTGTTGTGCCGCTTTCACATCTCACTCCCGATCTAAATGTACACTCCCTTGATATCTAGACATATCAGATCCCGATCCGCCGAACACCAGCATTGCCGAGCGCTTTTGGGCAGAGCACAACACACTATCTCTAAAACTCTCTTGATCCCTGAACCCTCGAATCTAATTATTTGACTCATTTGCGCCCCAGCCCCGCTATCTCTCTCACATCCACACGGAAACACTCACATAATCGTAGGACTGCCTGACTTATACTATATATACTATATATCCCCCAATCCGCTTCCCTCACTTGCTTCTTCCCAGAAGGGGTATCGGATCCCTCTCCCAAAAACTAGCGCCATCTCATCCTATATATGTTTTAGCTCTTAGAATATAATGGCAAGCAAAATGAGTACGCTAACGGTAGAGAATTAGATGTAAAATCCTGAATATACTATTTACCTAAACATAAACCTACTATATACGCCTATGGCCAGCTAATGCTTGGCTTACTCTATATACTCGATAAGAAGATGCTTACTAAACGTGCAGCGTTTGACTGCGGCAAACGAATATAATATTGAATCAACATATTTAAGCTAATCCAGATAAAAGTATACCTACTATATCCATCATACATATATCTCAATGTCTTGCCTAAAAGTATGTGTCGTATGGTTAATTTTTTCGTTAACAAATGTAGAACTGTTGCCGTTGGCCATAATTTTCAGCAAACGAAAACTCTGCGAAAATGTTTAGAAAACGCTCTCGAACTAACTAAGAACTAAAGCAAACAAAAAAACCAAGAAAAATAAAAACCAAAACACTCACCACTGCATGGCGCCAAGATATAACCAACTTGCATATTTCCGATCTAAGAGCTCATATCTTTTATTCCGCTTCTTTTCCAACTTTGCAATGCACCAGAAAAACACAGCAACAAACAGACAGATCAGAACAAAATGTTAACAAAACAATGGAATAATATAGCAATGGATTGTCAGTTGACATCCTAGGATAACATTGATGATGAGTTAGGCTGATTTTCAATATACCAAATAAGATGAAAAACAAAGAAAGAGTTAATATACATATACGAAACCACTTAGAGAACCACACTCGATTCCAACATTTATCCAAGTGGGTCTCGAGCCTTCTTCAAGATAGATAGAAGTACAGTACCGTCCAATAGAAGTCTTAGTTTAGTGGAATCCACCTAGTTGCCTCCTTTTGATTTGTAGCCTTCAACCGGAATTCAAATCACACACAACCGTTACACGCGTTACACTGAGAAAAAAGGAAATATAGACCGAAGCCGGCTCTCATTTGCTATCACTCTCCCATCGACGAACAGTGAGCGAAAAAAGTATGGCAATTCGATTGCATGTCAAAGATGAGAATAACAGAGCAAGCTAAGAAACATTGAAGAAGGAATTATTCATAACATTTAAATATATGCATATTTATGCCGAAGAACACACACAAAAACACACATCTAAACACAAGCAAAAACACTAATGAATATGTTATATCTGTGCTAACATTAGTCGTATTATTATTATTATAAAGACAAACAAATTATATTGAAATTATATTATATACGTTTTATTGTAAAAACCGTAAAACAAGTTGTTGGCTTCTTTACTCGAACCTTGGAAAGTGATCGAACCAAAACTAACATTCTCTCTTTCTCACCCACTACTAATCCATAAACAACAGTTTGCTGTGCGTTGTCTCTTTCTATCTCTCTCTCTCTCTCTCTCTATTTGTTGGCTGTTTCGATTAACGATTAATGATTATTTCGATTTGTGTTTAGTTTGGTGTATTTATGATTTTACGTCTCAGTTGGTATACTCATTTTGCTAAGATTTATGTTAAGTCAAGCTTACTCGATTTCGATATCGATATTTTTTCTTAAGCGCTTCTTTTATTAACGAACCTCGGTGATAACTGTCTAGGCGTACGTAAAACTCAATGTGCTCTCTGCTCGACTAAAAGAAAAGCCCTTTTGATTTCCTCACACACACCCACCCGACACACTCACACACACCGTACACCTGATTTTCTTTGGTAGAACTCTCGATACACACCTGGCTTGCTGGATGATCCAGATAAATATTACCTATTGTTTGACTAAAGCTGTTCTTGTGTATGGAATTTAATAATATATATTACATATATGTCAATATCCAATATACTCACTAGAGTTAAGCGCTTTTTGTAATGTTATCAAGGAAAATGCTTCGAATCATTTTTAGTTTCTGCCAAACATTTTGCTCTATTTTAATCTAAGACTCTCTTTTTCAAGCAAGCAACTTTGTATCTCTATCTTCTAGATGTAACTCTCACAGGCTCAAGATTTTCTGACTTACTTAAACTCTACCCCTAGCATGATATCTTAAAAACCTACAAAAGATCTTCACACAACTTGAAGCTTTTCTTTGAGTTCATTACAAAAAGCGTTTAGAGCGCTGCCAAAGAAACAGTAACAATGCCGTCGTCTCCTTCGAGCATACTCTACCTACCTTACTCTTACTCCTTTGCCCGTCGAAAGCGCTCGTCTTTCTCTAAAAATCGGAAAACTTATCGGGGGAAGTACGCTTGAGGACGTATATCGGGGAGAAATGTCCGGTACGGCAATAAATATCGATAATCCCAAATTACCATTGAACAATTCCTTACAAAATATCGATATATGATCAAAAATGTTTTCCAACTCGAAATCGATACATATCGATATTTACTGCCTTACCTTAGAACCTTCTGCTGTTCGACCTGAATTCATGTAATTACTTTGATTTTACCTTCATTTAGTTGGACTTTCTTGCGTTTTCCGTTGATTTTCCTATCGTTGTACATGATTTTATCTTTGAGATTCTTTCGATTGGACCGTAATTTGTAATTTTTCAGCATGTGCTCAATGAAACAGAAACTTTTTGTAGCAAGTATTCCGATATGACTATTGAGTATGAAATATCACGCAGTGACGTTGCAAGTGGCTGTCTCTTTCTACCCTCTATATATACGTATCTCTCTCGCAATCGCTCTCGCTCGCTGTCGAGACCGGTATTACTACTACTACTACTCGTACATTGCGTTTGTTCACATACAACATACTCGTATATAACTCGTGTATGGCTTCTGAGGCATGATATGGTATGATGGTAAAGCTATATGAAAGCACTTCTAAGGTAAGCTGGTGCACCGCCCCCCCAAAAAAATATGGAAAAAAAACCAAGCTTTTGTTTACTCCCCTCCAAAATAATGGTATTCTTATGATACGATATACGATAACTGATACCTTGCTATATAGATGCTAAGTATGTCACCATTTTCTTTATTTTTCTTCGTCGTAGAAATGTTTGTCCTTTACCAGCTTCGATCGACTGAGCTAAGGAAGATCGGAGACAAGAATTTGTGAAAATGAAATCATTTTAATTATAATTTTAAATGTCAAGCTTAAAAAATCGTGGCAAATTAAAGTTCCTGCTCGATCCTATATCCGATCTGCTTAGCTCACCGATCTACACATACATTATACAATACACTTGTTGGCCAGAAAATGTTATTAACATGTGACTTCTGTTTTTGTTTCTTTTCAAACCAACTTTTTTCTTTCTTTTTCGTAACAGCTGGATATCAGAAAAGATCCGCAAAATGTAAAATGTTTGGTCGTTGAAACATAAAGGAGACTGGTGTCTCCGCCCACACACACAATATTTAACCAACATGCACACACCACACATCACAACACACACACTCACATTTATATAAACACACCCACATTTAGTTAGCCAAAGTTTAGTAGTTGCGAGAGAAGCTTTTTTAGGTGAAGTTGCTTTTGAAGTCACCGCGCGAATCGCTTGAGAACGAGAACATCTAGTGCCAAATAGAAATACTGCTTCCAGCGCTGGAGAATCCAGAAGCTATATAGTCCAGAACCACACACACACCACACACCAAAAAAAAAAAAAAAAAAACACCCAAACACACAACAAGGCAAACTGGTAAACCCAAAGATCTTAGTGAAAGTTTTCTTGCGTTTCTTTCCCCTTTTGAAAATTTATCTACGCCACTGCCGCCTGCCCCCCTACATGTATTTTTCTACCATATATTTGATTGACTTTTGCAGGCTTGTTTGTGTATATGTATGTAGTAAGTATTTGCCTTTGTTTCTGTGTGATGATGATGATGATGATGATGTCCTGTGAGGAGCGATTGTCCCTGCTTGATAACCGAACCGAGCTTACCCTTGCCCTCTGACTTATTTTCCTCTCATTTCCAGCATTTACGGCTGCCGCAGTAACAAGTTTGAAATGCGCTTCGAAATGCAATTACTATATACTATATACTATATATAGCTGCTGCGTTTTAATTTGTTTATTAATTTGTTTACTCATCGTTTATGTTTTTTTCTTTCTGCTTTTTTCAGTTTCCGCTTGCCATTGGCTTAAGCCTGCGCTTGAATGCTGTTTATATATATTTTTATTTTCGTTAAAACCTTAATCCCCGTTTATTTGCAGCGCCGACTAACCCACCAAAATCCCCAAACCGAAACCCGAAACCCGACAAAGTATGCTACAGTTTTATAATTTGCTAATTTGCCTGCCGCGCTGCCGCCGCCATCGAGCTTATAAAACCCCGAAAAACCCCCCGAAAACCCCAGACCGAACCGAACTGAACCCGACTAATCTACGATAGTTTTAAGTGCGTTTTGCTTTTTTGCATATGCGAACAACAGCAAAGCCGGCTGGAAAAAAAGTAAACTTTTCCGCCAGCAACAAGTTAATTACACAACCGGCCAAAAGGGGCCTGGATGCGGGGTACTGAAAGCCGTAATTACAACACGAAAACATTGTTATTTTAATGGGGGAGGCGTGGTGTCACACATTTACATTTATTAACTCGTGTCCTTTGGGGCCCAGGAGGCGCCCAAACTTTTATTTCCTGCTCAAACCTTTGCCGCTGTTTGGCGCTCTTTTTTTGTTGTCCGAGGCTTTTTCAACTCTATTTGCATAATTCGAAATCAAGGCGAAAATTACGGACAGTCAACGAGGTGGAAAGTTGGTTTTGGTACACAAAAAAGTTTGTTTTTCGCATATGCAGCTTACGCTTAACTTTTAAGTCTCTCTTTCTCTGTCTTTTTTACTGCAAACTAATTAATTTTCATTTATCTTCAGTGGATTTTAACGAATAAAAATAATTATTTCTTCCAATTTTTCTACCTTTTTTTCCACATGCTAACACACACATGCGCAAAAAAATCAACAATAATCTATGAAATAATATTTAAAACATGAAAACAATGTTCTCTCACCATATTTGCATGCAATATATATATTTATATATATTTAATTTATGAATAACAACAATCACGCACGGATTTGGATCGAAAAACAAACGCTGCATGGAAAACCAACAAAAACCGAAATTAAAACGATTATGCATATATATATTTTTCATTCTTATCACCCAAACCACACGCTCACACTATACACCATATTCATGTATATTTTTTCTGTACAAATATTGCATGATTTTGTTGGCTTTTTTCGGCCGCGATTAGCGAGTCCGAAAATTCCCCTGAACGCCTCCTGTGTCATCTACACGGACGCCAGCGGTCAGGTACAGTCTGCCCTGCCTAACCGCGCTCTGTCCCGCATGGCCTGCCTCCCTATATAGTATATATGCTAAGTTTTATTTATTTTTAACCCTTGACTGGAAATAAAACACAACCTAGCAGCAGCAAGTACTCGTAAAGGTGGGTGGGAGTCCCCGTGGCCCATTTCAGTTAATCAAATTAAATGCCTGGCCGCTCCTCAGACTCAGCTCAGCTCTGGAATCGGCAGCGAGCAAACAGGCAAATAAACAAACAAACTGGGCCAAAGGCGTGGCCGAGACGGTGATGTCAGGAGGAGCGGAGCTCTGAGCCGTGAGACATGAGACATGAGAGCTGGACACACCTCGGGGTGTCATAGCTGTTAGCAGTTGTTTGTTTACCACACACACACACACAAATACACCTCATTGCCACAACGACCAGAACAGCCACCCACCACCCACACCTAAACCGAACTCTAGAGGTGTTACTTTATATATAAACTCTGTGTATTCTCTCTATACATATATATATATTTCGATATCGTGTAGCCCAACCGGAGCGGGGTCTCCTGTACACTCAGTGTCCGATGCTAGTGAACGGCACCTTTTACATAATTAGGTAATTAGGACATTCCCACTCTTAATCCTCGATAATAATTCCCCGGCGAAGCTTCCAACGCCGATCTTTTGTGTGCTTAGCTTTTGCCCTGGCTTCCAGCTTTTCGTGTGCTTCAGTTTAGCGAGATACTATATATACCTAGCAAGGAACTTTGAGTTCGGCTTTTCGGCAGCTTTTGATTTTCCCCCCTCTTTCGTTGCCGCACCGAAACTAGGCCCGATCTGACGATGGTAAAAAGTATTAACCCCACTTTTACGATCTCTCTTTCTCCTCTCTCTCTCTTTCTCTTCTCTTTTCTTATATTTCTAGTGCCGCCTATTAGGATATGTAATTGTTACCGCCTAGTACAGCCCCAATAGAACCTAAGAAAAAGCAATCAGATCGATCAGATCAGAGAGATCAGAGATCATTTTTGAGTTGAGTTCCTTAGCCCACATGCACACACAGAGATACGAGTGAGTCCATACCCAGATAGCCACAGCTGGCTCCTTCAGGCGCTTCGCTTCCGAAGCTTTCTTTTTGTTAGCTTTCTTGGCCCAGATTCTTCAGTTTGAGTTTCAGAGCGAATACTTGCTGCTTTAGCGGAGTGTTTTATTTCGTGGCAATCTTTATAAACTTTATTTCTAAGCTAACGTTTGAGTTCCCCCACACCAAACACACACACACACACACATGCGATATATATGATGTATGTATATCCCCCAAACCAGATCCCCTCAAGATCAAGACAAAGACAGAGATTCTTATTGTTTTGCCATATCTTATGATTTCCACTCTGCCGCCTTGTTTTAGACCATTTAAGTCAAGGAGAAAACTACTTAGCTTAACATACGAGTATCTATATATTTTAAATGTATCATGTGAAACAACCGATAAGAAGACATACCCACTACCTATACCAACATATATCTCTAGTTAGCTCTATTAACTACGACTAACATCTGGAACTCCACCAACCAACATCAAGCAATTGTAAAACCGAAACCGTATTTATTCTAACCAACCATTAACCATTCTAGTGAACCATTTCGATACTATAAGAGATATAACTAATTTGTGCTCTTTTTCTTTTCTTTTTTCTGCTCTTCTCTTTTTTTCGAAACTGAAAACCGATGAAATATATATATATTAAAAAATATATATCGAAAAATACCAACTCCCCCGAATATCAAACACAAAAACCTACATACTCTTTATGATTTCCTGAATTGGTTTCCGTTTGCATCCCGCCATATCCAAAAAAAAACCGAAAACACACACGACAACAAACAAAAAACTCTCATGCCCAATCTATATAGTTACTGGACACCCTCCCGGTGTGCCAAGATTTTAATAGATCTATGTGCAGTCGGTTAAATTGTAGATTCGTTCATTTAACTGAAGGTAAGTGCATGTGCCTAAGTTCTTCCTCCCCCTCAGTTCACCTATCTATCTATCTACTATCTCTATATCTCGCTGTACTCTCCCCTCCCCTCCCGCTCTCTTGGGTTTAGTTCCACATCTATATCTTGAATCTTAAACGCTTTTAGTGCTTTCTCCTCCTAGACACTGTTGAGATGATTTCCGATTTAAGCCTAAGTTGTAGTTAGGAGAACACAACCAGTAATTCCGTTTAGTTTTGCTCAATTGGCTGATGTCTTTCGTTTTGAGAAATGTAAAACCATTAAATTTGTTTTTATTCTTTTATTTCGTTTAATAAATTTGAGTTTTGGCTTTCTGTCAAGATAATTACACACACAAAAATACACAAAAGTATGATGGAATATTGTAAAGAACCAATATTTGCGAGAGGTTTCTATTCCGGGCAGCAAAGTCTCCTGTTCTCCCCACGTTTCATACAAGATCTCATGAGATTGTAATTGTCTGAGAGTCAGCTGCTGTAAAGATCACTTTATTATTACCGAAAAATACTTGAACAATTTTTGGAAAAGCTTTCACTGTTTTCTAATGCCAAAAACCAACTTACTAGCCTGCGCCCAGTCCTACCTGTGAGTTACTAACGTGCCGCTCTCTCTTCTCTATCCCCCGCTTTCCAACGCTCCCACGACACGCCCGACAGATGACAAGGTCGAGGTGATTGATCAACGTGTTGCTGTCTGCCGCGACCATGCCAACAGCCAGTGCCGCCGCAAGCAGTGTAAATACTACCACATACCGATTGTCCTGCCGCCGGCCAACATCATGGCGGCCATGATCACCAGTCCCAGTGACCAGCAGGCGGCGGCGGCGGCGGCGGCTGCTGTTCCCAATCCTGCGACAGCAGCTGCCTACAACGGCGCCAGCAACTTGATCATCATTGAGCCGCAGCAGCAGCAGCAACAGCAGCAGCCGCAACAGCAACAGCAGCCTCTGCCGCAGCAACAGCAGCAGCAGTTCAGTTACCACAGCAACAGCAACAATAACAATTACTATCACAGCAACGCCAGCAAGCAGGCAGCACAGCAGCACGCCAGCAACATGTATCAGCAGCAGCAGCAACACGCGCAGCAGCAACACTCGCAGCAGCAGCAACATCAGCAGCAGCACACCATCACCTACCACTGCAGCTCTCCCTACTCGCCCTCGTCGGCCTCCTCGTCGTCCTCCTGCTCGATAGCCACCTCGCCCACGCTCTCCTCGGCCACCACGCTGTCCACCACCTCGACGGCCACCATGCCCACGCCCCAGCAGCAGTATCCCCAGCAGGCCACCTTCCTGAAGGCCTCTCCGGCCTACTACACCACGGATGCCACGCCCACTCTGGTGCTGAGCAGCGACTACAACTCCAACTGCATCCCGATCCAGGCGACGCCTTTCATCTCGCTGCAGGCGGCACCGCAGCAACATCTGCTGAAGTACACCGCCCAGCCGGCGCCGCCGCAGCAACAGCAGCACGCCTACGTGGGTCATCATTATCCATCGCAGATGGGCACTGTGGTGGCCACCACTGTGGCTGCCATGCCGGCCACCACGATCACCATGGCGGCGCCTGCAACAGTGGCAGCGCCGTCGACCTGCATCTAGAAGGGGGTCTGGGTCAGAGGAGTATCAGGAGGCGGCTCCATTCATTTTCCCACAAGCATCGTATATTAAGTCAATAAAATCGGAGTGTATCGTTTGTGAAATCTCTAGAGATTTGAAAGGAATTTATTCGGGCACCCAAAAGTATGCAATGAAATATAATTTTGTGAAATAAATAACTAGAAATTGTAAAGATCTTTACGGCTACGGAGAATTCACAGAACTTCAACTATGTATATCATTGCCTACTTTTAGACAGACTAAATATACGTTTTCAAATCTCCAGTGATTCCCGAAAATACACCGCATAGGCGTTTTTCAATTAAAAGTTTTGTCACCTACCTAATTCATTGGAATACTCGTTTTTTGTCAACTCCACACATCACCTAGATAACTTATATTGCATATATATTCTTCACAACCTAAGCCACACGATACGTATACCAATCATAAATATCCAATCCCCAGTCTCCAAGCTGAAATTGGAACAAATCAAAAGGCAAATGCAGAACTTGGCTGAAGGTCTAAAGTCTAGTAACGAAAAACTTCAACAATCACATTCTACGAACATTAATACACTCTCACACAAGATACAGAAATTGAAGTTTTTGATGCAAATTAAAGGTTGATACAAACTATTTACAAAAATAAGAACCGAAAGTACTATTTGGGGCTGAGAGATGAAAGCTCTGCAGAACTCTTTCGTACGTATAGCAAGACTTAAAGGTGTAAGCATTCGACTTGCACATCAAGTGACATGCATTAGAGGGAAAATATTGAGTGACGACTCTACACAATATTACAAAAACCGAAATAAAAACGAAAACAAAAAAGAGTGTTGTTAAAAGAAACAAAAAACAAAAGAAAATTAGCAATTAAAAATTGAACTTAACAAGAGGACGAAAAAAATAGGAGAGGAGAGCGCAGTTGCATTAAAATTAGTTACAAACTATTTTAAACTCTAGTGTTCCATATTTCAAAGCAAATAAAAATACAAAATAAAAGTGAATACCGGTACATAAAAGGGGATAAACAATTAGTGAGGAGTGTTAATATTAGCTAAGGTTAAGCCTGACAAACAGAGCAGTTCTCCATGGCAAATAGTCAAAATTAATCAAAACAAAACAGAATCTACATAGGCCATAAGTAAGCAGCAGAACAACTAATAATAAATTCATAACAATAACAATAATATCGATAACGATAACGATAACGATAGCGATGAGGATGAAGATGAAAAGTACAGTCACGTCCTATTTTTGCAACAACGATTTACTACAAGCGAGAGGCAAACGATCCAGATGTGCATACGGAGATTTTATTAAGCAGAAAGCAGAAATCAGATACAGAGTACAGAAACCATAATCCTTTTTTACATTTTATAATAACGATCAATATAAATCAGCAGAACTACAGCCAGAGAAGCCATATTTTTTATATACAAAGGAAGCATCAAAAACCACACTGATAAACAAAATCGAATGCGGTGAACAACCACAAATTTAATCAAATCTAAAGCGATAAGAATTTTTTGCAGCAACAAACAAAGACGGAGACTTTTTTAAAGTGTATCATTTAGCTGAATTCTCTAGTAAATGAATGGCCCCGAGTAAGCTCACACAGAAATCGAAATTGTATCGTACTATTATATATCTCTTCCTATGCAAACCGATTTGTAAGCACTATATATGTATATAGCCATTGCCCAGTCTATATGCGACTTGAACTTATTTCCCACGACGGCTCTGTTGTAATTAAGACGACTTGTGACTTGTTTTTAAACACACTCGAAAAACTTGTATTTGGAACACACACAAACACACAGAATAACAATTACAATAAATTGCAGAACGGAAACTAATTATTATATATACAAGCAAGCATACGTATATACACTATATGTATATATACTACATATATTTATGTCTGTACACGTATATATATATACATTAACACAAATATATATATATTTACTAAAGGCAACTAAACATGAAATGTGATCTTTTAAAGAAACAAAATGAAAATGAAAACGAAAACGAACGAGGAATAATAATTTAACTGAGGCAGGCAGGCAGAGTAAAGAGAGCCACTGCTAGCAGGATAGTTAAACGTATTTTTAAATTGGTTCCATCTCGAGACAAGCGTACGAATATCTCCATTCAATAACGGATAACACCAATAATACTCGACATCTAGCTAATAATTGTTCAACAATAACAGATTTACCTACATATACATTTAAGGGCTGGCTATAATATACGGAAATTTGTTTTCATCATCGCAACTACTATCACTTCTACCACTATCACCATCACCTGGATCCCACTCTCACTCTCTCTCTCTCTCTCTTTGATACCTTAACCTAATCGTAGTACTCAACTTCAGCTCGCTCTCTTCGAAGCCTCCGCAAGACAACTTACTCGTACTTCCCGTACTCTCCAAATAAGAATGCCTAATAAGTTTCCGTCCATTATAAGCAGACCTTAATTCTATGTGTGGCGACAGCAGCAAGTGGAACAGTTGTAAACGAATAATTACAAATAAAAAACAAGAAAGGAAGCTAACTTCGGCACGCCGAAGTTTGTATACCCTTGCAGATTGGTTTTGATGTTTATTTTATAGATTTAAATGCTGAAAACACTCACAAAACAGAGTTTCATTACATTTTACCTATACTTATTATGTTTACAGTTTGACAGTTACAGTTTTACATTCTCAGCTTTATATATTTTATACATTTACCGATCGCTTCTATGGCAGCTATAAGATATAGTTGTCCGATTTTTATGAAATTTATACCAAAATTCTAGAATAATAAAAAAAACGTATATCTCAGAGTAAATAAAAATGCGTTGAAAAACAACGAAGCTATAATTTTATTTCTATTAATTTCTCGATCGTTCCTATGGCAGCTATATCATATAGTCGTCCGATTTTCATAAAATTTTTACCAAAATTCTGGAATAATATAAAATGGCTATATCTCAAAAATGATGCAAAAATATTGAAAAACAGCCAAGTTATACTTTTTTTCTAAAAATTTATCAAACATTTGTATGGCAGCTATATGATATAGTCGTCCGATCCGGCCCGTTCCGACATATATAGCAGTGAGAGCATATAGAAGACTATATGCAAAGTTTCATTCAGATAGCTTTAAAACTGAGGGACTAGTTTGCGTAGAAACAGACAGACAGACAGACGGACAGACGGACAGACAGACAGACGGACAGACGGACAGACAGACAGACGGACAGACGGACATGGCTAGATCGACTCGGCT